TTGGTTTAATGCTTCCTTTAGAAATGTAAGGCAGCCACATGGTTAAATTCTTGCTGGTTTCTGTTAAAATAACCCCAAGTTAGGCTCCTGTCCTGTTTAGGATCTCTCTGAGATATAGAAAGTGACAGACTCTCCTTAGTAAGTTTCTCAACACTAACTTTTTCATACAACTTAAGGGATTCAAGGGCCCATTAAATTCCATCCATGGTGTAACCCTATGTTAGAACTGTTGCCCCAAGGAATTTATAGAATATCCAAGAACTTGTATTGCCTTTGTTTAATGCTTTTACAACCTTGTGAATATTTATGAGTAGTAGATAATACTTGATTCAGCATGGTATTACCCAAAGGTAGCTAACACCAGCACTTCTGTGCTGGGCATTTTAAAGTGCAAATAAGTAAGAATGTTATAATAGCAGATCCTCTGTCCACTTAAACTTCTTTGTCTATGTGTTTCTCCTGTAAACATCAGCACTTTTAACTCTGTCAGCAACAGACAGACTTTACAGACTCTGGAGATCCTATACTGAAGTCAGAAACTGCTGCAGGTTTGTGGGATGAGATCTGATGTCCTAATGTGGCATTCAAGGTGCTGCTGGCCAGCTGGCCTCAGCCCACCTCTCCAGGGCTTATCCTACCTAATCCCCAGTAATCAAATGGCTTACTAAACATTCTACACATGTTAGCCATTTCTCTACACAAATCACCAGCTGAATCCAGTGGGTTTCGCCCCCTTTGGGATACCCCTTTCCTTCAGTTTCACTTCTCTTTTCTCCAGAACCCAGGTGGGGTCCTTCCTACCTCTGAAACACCCCCAAATAGTCCAGCCCCTGGGGATGCTCCATTCCCTCTGAATGGCAGTAGCATTATTGCCCTTATACAAAAAACAAAATAGTACTTGCTCTTTTAATAATAATTGTGTTTCCCCTGATAAGACTTAACCCCTTTACTACCGAGAGTGTATTTTTATGTATCTGCACCTGCGTATAGTAGGTGAGGACTAAATGTTTACAAAAATGTGCTCAGTTTGTCTGAGTTGGTAACACCCTCTGTAATTAAACAGAATGGAGCAGATG